TTTAATTTGAGTGTCAGCTGGTACATAACGGAAACCAAAGCCAAGTAAGTGTTAACAGTAATTCTACAAAATTTCATCCTTTTTAAAGCAAGTTTTCATGTTTTCTCTTCTCACTGTCAAGTGCATGAACGTCAAAAGTGCCTGAATGCAAAGGCATTTTATATTATGGATCTTACCAAATAACTCCTTCACCACTAGAAATGGATCTAATGGACAACTTTGTAAAACCTCGGTGACACAGTATATCAATTCAGTGCCATGATACAGCAGAGAAGGCCAAGTCTGCCTTTCTTATAAGACAGGCGAGGTCCTTCTTCTGAAATCAGTTTTATATAAATTTGCAAAGTAATGGACTGCTGGCTTTGAAAATGTACACTTTAAAGCTGTGTGAGATCCTGACTATATTGCAAGATGGTGATGAGGGGATTCAGTTCTGCTGCACTGCAACTTCTTGCAGTACCTTTTCATAAAGCCACAGGTAATTTTAAATGTGGAAAAGGTGCAGCCTTTTTGGAAGGAAGGGTGGGAGAAATAGGGTCCCCATGAAGAACTTCTATCAACATCAGCAGAGTTAGTCCTACCTGGCTGTCCTAGGACATTGCTAGAAGGATGGAAGAGTATTATGGAGAGAGCAAGACTTATCTAACTCAGTTGGAGGAGGGACAAAAAGGAAGCTTTATCTTTTCTCTAATTAGCTTCTGGAAATGTGGACAAGCAACAAAATGATGAGTCCTAACACGAGCACAGTGCTTGTGCAGTCATTTGGCCGAAAGGTTTCAGCAGTGAGTAATCCCTTGTTTTCTGTCTTCTAGCAGACACCTACATTATCTCAATACACCCGGTAGTTCAATAATGAGCCTGTATTATTTCTCATTTATCAATGTGCACTTAAATGGCCACAAATAAGAGGGGTTACTGCATTTGGTAAAAAAAAAATTATGTCCAGGGGGGTAGAATGTGAACTACAATGAATGTGTAGATATGACTTATAAATGCTGAACTTTAATTATCCTAATTGCAATGCTACCACCTATAACCTGAGTTCACTCCTTTTTTTATGATTATATCAACTTATTTCTCTCTATTCAGTTGTTTGGCCAGCTCCATACTGCACCAATTTTTTGTTAATAGAAAGCCAGGCCATCATCAGACCATAATAGTCAGCTACATACTAAGGCCTTACACATCTACTATTGTACAAGTAAATTAGGTTAATTAGGTATTACTTTCATCACTACTGCATTTTTGCAGTAAATAGAAAAGAGAATTAAAAATCTGTTATTGTTGCTATTTTTGATTCTAGTGTGTAATGTATCTGTTTGAACAATCTCTCTAACAATATTCCAATACCTTATCATTTGGGTGGTATGGCTAAGGAATCTGGCTGGGAGAGCTTTGATCCTATTCGTGTTTGTTTCTACCAAATACACATAAAGTGCATACTCTGTGGCAGTATCAAAACACAGGGGGAAAAAATGCTACTTGCTAATTTAGCAAGCAACATTATTTTCTATCTGAACAACAAAATTTTGCATTTTAGGAATTCAAGAGAAACATCTGGCTTTACCCAGACAAGAACCTGGATTTAAAGCCAAGCATTAAATCCATCCAGGAGGAGACCACACCAGTCCAATTGCCCTGTAAGGATGGTGTGTGTCATCTGCCAGCAACAAATATTGGAAGACATCCTGCCCCTCTGCGTCCTGTGTGATTAGTAACACGTAAGAACTGGGTCCATGAAGCTGGTTTTTCTTTTTTCCCCAAAATGCACTGATACAAATTAATCTTCAGTTTACAGCCTGAAACAGCCCCTTGAGAACCCCTCCATAATAAAGCTCATCTTTGCATTTTATAGAGACTAGACTTAAAAAGAAGAAAATATGTGAAACAGAGCTAGATTTTTCTTCATTGTCAGTAAGAGGGTACAAGTACTACCTCAATTTTTCAGTTATTCTGTAAATAATGTCTCACTGCATTTTCTTTAGGAGTATATAAAACTGCCTGGCTTTCATATCTTGATGTACACAGTACATTCTGCTAAGAGATCAAGGCAAGTTCATACCCCTATCCTCAAATTCTTTAATGCCTTAGGAAAATGACTGCTACAAATATTTGGGGGTTAGAAGTGCACACAGAAATTACCAGTAGCATTTCCCCTTTGATTGCCATCATTCTGAATAACAAACACTGTCACGGTAGAAAGAGAGCAAGATGACATGATACCATATAAAATGACACTACCTAAAACATACCTGTAAATGAAAGCTTTGAGAAAATGCTATCTTTTTAATAGGAAATATAGCTCACTTGAATGAATATGCAATATTCTCTCAGGGTTTGAATTAAATACAGACCTTAATAATTACCCTAATTACTTCTGTTGTGATTCTACCTTTGAGTCTACATGAAACAAACATCTAACAATTAGTTACATTTTCATTTAATCAACTGGTTTTGAATAAACAGCTGTTAGTATTTCTTTTAACAAACCTGTTCTTTTAGAAAGACCAAAGACAAAATTGTTTGTTTCGATTTAGCATCCAACATGTCATTTAGTTTGGACTAACATATTTATTTGGATTTTTTGCCCAGCAACCAAAGTTCTCTATCTGGCCACAAAAGAAACACAACAAAAGCTACAGCAGAAGGTGGAACACATTATTTGGTAACACATCTCAAACACAGCCTGGACAAACCACCTCTGAGGGTAAAAACATACATCACATTTCAGCTTCCAAGCCCAATTTAGTCTTCAGTCTCTCAACTGAGCCTGTCAATTAGGGCGTCAATTAGGCCTTGATCCAGCAGAGCACCGAAGCATGTGTGTAATCTGAGCATATGAATAACCTTGTTGCTCACTGCAAATCAGGATGATAGTGACAGGGGAAAAATGAACAGGACCACCAGTTCATTCTCACATACAGCAATTACATCACACTTTAAAATATTTTCTTGATGAAGCAACATACTGGAAAATTGTGGCATTTGTCTTCTCTGCTCCTTTTGGAGCCAGTATAAACCAAGGTTGTTGTTCATCTTCCTTTTTAGTTGGCAGAAAGAAACTAGATATTCACTCCTCTAAAACTACATGAGAAATTATTTTCTTCCAAAACAGGCCTGATTTAAAGTGGTATCTCTTTTTATAAAGCTATACAATAATAAAATTGTTTCTTATGCATAGTGCAAACTGAAGATTTTCAATATTTGACTTGTTAGTAGACTTGACACTAGTGAGGCTGCTGCTCCTAGATACATAACTAGAAGTGATTTACTGTTTTGTGCCTGAGCTTGCCTGTACCTAACATGAAGATCACAATCGCTCTCCTTTTCCAAAGCACTGAGGTCTGTCAGTTATAGAAACATTCCCCTAGAATAACTTTTTGCTGTTGTTCTTGGGCATACATACCGTAGCTCCTGAGGCAAATCAGTAGCCATTGCAAACTGATGCATATTCCTCTCCACGAAAGTAAAAAAATGTAGCTACATCATGAGATTTCCCAGTTAGAGAATCACAAAGGACTGCACAATGATGTGCCTGCAGAAGTACTGGTGGAGGGAGGGCTGAGAATACCCAACTCAGGACTCCACTGGGCTGTTGTAATAGTTTTACTCTCTGGACGATCCCTTAGTAACTAGATGAGAAACACAGAAATGTCGTCTTTAAGAACTTTCACTTGACCTCTTCAAAGCTTATTCCCATGCAAGTTTTAAAATACCACAAATGTTTGAGATAAACTATGCAACATGGAGCTTGCTAATGACAGAGGCAAGCCAGTCTTGGCAACATGCTTTCAAGGCTAGACAAATGCAAGTAAAAATACTGTGATAGTTCCAATCCACATTTTCCTCCCCAAGTCTGATGTTAGCCTGAGAGACCCACACCCTGACCAATTCTTTTATCATAACTGTAGAGCAAGTGATACAACAAGGAACACAAAACTAGGTTCAGGGTTTTGCCACACTCAGTTACAAAATGATTCCATGCTGGGTGATGCCACTCAGAAAGGAAAGGGATCCAGTAAGAGCCTAACCTTGCTCCCACTGGAGTTTGCAGCAAAACTTACACAGAAACAGAATGAAACCTAAATTTGACACCAATGTTAAAACTGATGGACGCCTTTCTATAGCCTGTCAAGTCAGTGATAGGTTGTTTGTACCTTTGATTGTTAAAGGGAAATTACCAGATCAGAATTCTGAATCCTTATAATAAATGAACTTTTAAAAATGTAACGCTTCTCAAACACTGTGTCATATGTTTTGTCAGGCTAGTGTAACACAAAAGGTTGTGATGTATACATTAAGATTTAAACGCACTCTCTTTGTAAGTGACAAGAAACGTGCAGCCTTTCTATCGTTTTTTACACATGAAAATGAACTCATTATTTCTATCTTAAGATTCAGCCTCAGAAGTATCTCAACAGCTGTGTTTTTTACCTTCTGAAAACGGCTGATCCTAAAATGCTTTTGCAGCTTTCTACTGAGGGAAAAATAGAGTTTAAAAAAAACCCACTGGCATTGCAAAAACTCTTCCGTCCAATGCATTGGCATGTTTACTTATCAACACATGTCCAGGGCTCACCCAAACATCCTTCCTCCTTTGAACAAAACATCTTTCCCCAGTTTCTGGGTTTAAGCAGAAGAAAACACATGGTGGAAGGTGCATGCAGCCTATCTCAGGAGCCAGAAAACAATTCTAAAATGTGTACAGGGCTACAACAGTTAAATCTGAAAGCTGCTGAGAAATTGCTTGGATGCTATGAGCAAAAAGTGTGGTTCCAGAGTATAATCCTAGTGATACACTATGTTCTTTGCAAAAGGTTGTGAGGCCTTGGCCTAATAAGCATAATCTCATTACACTGCAAATAAAAGTTTCCTATTTATCTCCAGATTTCAAATGAATCTAATAAGGCTTATGATACAGTCACCCAATACCCTAATCATATTTCTGCCTATCTAAAAGCAATCAGTAATTGTGTTATAGCAGAACGTGCTGACAATACCTCTGACACAGAAAGGAGAATGAGAGCCCAGCTGTACTAATTAAATTAAATGCTAGGCTGATGGAATACATTTGCTGAAGCTTGGAGAGTATGGGTGCAGAATTAATAAGCATTACAGCTCAGAGCAGGAGATGATATCATAATGGATGCAAGGTTTTGATGTGGAGAGCCTCATTCAGATTCAATGTACCATAATGTACGGATGTGACAGCTGCTTAGAGAGGTGCAGAACCTTGAACAAAGTGCACAGGAACTTTCTCTGCCCCCTCCTTCTTTTTTTTTTTCCCCTCCCCTCTCTCCTCCCCCCATCTTTTTTGTTACTTACTTAGGAATTGTATTTTAATATTATCCATCAGCTCAGAAAATACTCTGTTTGGGCCACAGTTTACTATTTATTGCTATCCTACTGGTTTGCACTGCCGCTTCTTTTCTTCCCACCTTTTCCTGTCTGCGGTTTTAAACTTACCAGCCATGTAAATTCGAGAAAGACCCTTTGAAAAACAGTTTATAATGCAAAATATATATATATATATATATGGGGTTAATAATAATTTTGCCTCTCTTCCCTCTTTCTTATTATTTTTAATGCCAGAAATCCCGAGGGCGGGGGAACTCCTGCAAGGGAGACGAAAAACCAAACGCACGCCACCTCTGTCACTGCGGCCAAGCTGCTGCTGGAGGCGCTGGGAGGGCTTGGGAATGAGCAAGAGCCACTGGAAAGGACCCAGAGCCGGTTTCCCCGTCCGAGAGCCAGCGGGGCCCCGCCACCCAGCCGCTGTCCCTGCCCGGCCGTGCCAGCACAGCACAATCTCTTGCTCACAAATGGCTGGCGGGGAGCGGCGGGTCCGGGGCTGCTGCGCCAGCTCCGCCGGCCGGGGCTCATTACCATGAGAATTTTGACAGGATATTAGATTTACTAATCCTGAACTTTCCGGGCTGACCCCTCACTCGCGAGCAGACAATGCCGGTGCCTGCCGGCCAGGCCCCTCCGCCTGCCCTCAGCATGTTTTACTCCCCCCGCCCCCGGCACACGCACAACCCACACGAGGGCACCGCGGGCCGAGGGCTCCTCCGGCCGCCGCCCCCTCCTCTCCTGGCCCGGCCGTCCCTCCGGCCCCCCTCCAGCCGCCTTCCCTCGCTGCCTCCGTCCTCTCCTCCGGCCCAGGTCGCTTGGCTGTGCCCCGTTTCCATTAGGAAGCTGAGCCCGTACGGGAGCAGGGCCCGGCCGCTGCCCCGAGCCCGCTGCGGGGGCTGCACGCGCCGCTCCCGCCCCGGGCCAGCTCTTCCCACCGGCCCCCTTCCATCCCCCCCAAACCGGCCCCTCCTGAAAACACAGTGCCGATTAAGTTGCTGAAAACAGCAGATTTCCACTGATACTATACAGATAGAGCTGACCATTAAATTGCAATTTTACATCCCCAGGCAGCAGTGGCTGCTGACAACCTCTAAAGCTTGTAATCCCATTTAACCCCCTCCTGTCATGAGCAGGCCCACCCTTTTGGAATAATGCAGGCCAAATTAAACCTGACACGGCAACAAGAGAAATAAAACCCCCTTTAGCTTAAAAGTCATGCCACAGTGGGTAACCCTGACCTTTGGCTTCCCCTCTCCCTTCTCCAGGGAGCCCCCCCAGATGCTGGCGTTGACAGAGGCGAGAGCGGGGAATTGCAAGGCAGCTGGATGGCCCTGGGGACAAATTAAAGGGAATTTTGCTAGACAATAGAAGGAAATTTCACCTGAGGGTTTGTTGTTTTTTTTTTTTCCTCTCCCCCTTTTTTCTAACTCTTCCTTTTGTAATAAAAAATGAGCCCTGATCGCTCACTGCCAACTCTTTCCTGCCTGGCCTGGCTGTCAAAGGCCATCCCTATTGAAGCAGCCTCAGCCAGTGTTACAGCCGCCTTGCCTCAGAGAGGAACCTCAGGTTTTCACAGCCCACGGCTGGCGTTTAGTGCCGATTTCAGAAGGAAGCTGACCACTTCTAAGGTCCCCTAAAACAAACACAAACCCGCAAAAAAAAAAAAATCATCCCTCCCTAGCTCAAAGTCATGACTATAGTCCATCTCCTTTGTTGGGAGAGGAGGGGAAAGGCACGTCAGGGTGAGACTCGTCCTGCATTATTCGCACACTGCTAGTCCATGAGTACAGGAGGAGCTTTCAGACCTAACCCAAGCAATATTGCGCTCCTTACTCTGGTCTCATTTGGGGAAATAACGCTGTTTGTTTGATAATATTTTTGAGAATACTGGACTATATGGACAAGCCTCTGTAAACAGTGTACATCTGCACCACCGCACCAGCGCTTGCAAATGTGGAGGATGGCTTTTCACACCTAATCTACACACAAGCAGACCACCACAAGTTTCTCCCCAGTTCTCCTCTCTGTTTACTGCCTGGTAAAGAGAAAAGACAAAAGTCAGAAAGCACCTGCATGCAGAAAAAAGCCACATTGCCACTCTATCTTCAATTTCTTATTTCTGTCTTTATGACAGATGCAATGGGAATATGATTCTATAGCAAAAATACAAATCACCACATTTTTCTACCTATCCATCTGTCTACAAATACACACCTGTATGCAACCAGACTTGCCCTTTCCATCCACGACACTTTTCTCAGCACTCCCCCACCTGCCCTTATTTCTGTACGCTGAAGATCACGCTAACAAAACACCTTCCAAAACAGTGCAGCAGGAGAGGTAAATGCCCGGATCGAGTGGAAAGTTTGCTACGGAAGTTTGCAAGCTGCTTACAGCGAGCCTCTGCAAGGGACCCTGTCTGCACCACACCATTTCGCCAGTAACTCACCGAGTCACTCTCCTAGAGGCCCCACAGCAGGAATGAACTTGCAGCGCTTCTAAATAGTGGAGCACCAAAAAAGCAGGCTCATTACCTGGACACATGGCTTCTCATTACTTCATTGCTTCAGATGCCAGATCCCTTGATGCTGCAGATCAGCTCAAAAATTTGAAGTACTCCTTCCTTTTTTCCCCCCCTTTCCAATTTTCTTTCTTTCATTCATTCTTTAAAAAAAAAAAAAAAGGATGCTTGACTAAAGTTAGCTTAAATTTGTTAAGAATAAAACCGGCATAAATGTTTATTTCGACTTCCTAGTGCGGCAGTGTACCGAAGCCCAGCCCGCCCGAGCCTCTTTAGCAATGGAGTGGTTTATTTAATTTGTCAGTATAATAGAAGCAGCTGAGTGAGAGACAGAGAATGCAGTGTGGTATAAAAGAAACAAAGGCTAAAAGTACCACTATTTTGATTCCCTTTTTAAAATTACTTCCAAAGTGTGGTATCTATTGTGAAGAATAATGCTGAACAAAGCACAGTGTCTTGGCAATATTCACAGAGCTCATTCACAGAGCCAGTTCTGTCTGTACATTCAGAGGTAGAATACACTTATAAATGATGCATTGGAAGGACTATAGTTCCTATTGTATTCCCAGTGTAAACAAAAAGACAGACAGAAGCTGAATGGCATATGGGCAGCAGGGCCACACTTTATTCAACCATTCCAGCACCATTGTGAAGGTAAAATGGAATGGGAGTTCTCTCTTCAAATCCAGTGAACACATTTTGGGTTAGGCTAACAATTTTTATATATATAAAACACAGATCTGGTGGTAATTTTGTACAGTTCTGTGGAAAAGTGATCTTTAAAGCAATCTACAATAGGGATTGCTGTCAAGTTTTGGAGGTCATTCCCAATGGAATTAAGTAGCCTCTGGAGAAGACTGGCTGAAAGAGGGTCTGTGTGTTGGCTGTAAAGGTGGGTGCTTGATGCATAGAGCCAAAATGGCCTAAAAAAGCAGTAGCAAAAGCTGGCAAGGAGACTGAGATGCTCAGGATCCAACCTACCTGGAAAAAGATATGCTACTGGAAGGGGCTTTCTTTGTATGGACTGGAGTTTATCCCTCTTTTTGCACAGTTGAGCCCCATTTGTTAGCCAGCAAAGACTGTCTGAGCCTGCAAAAGGAGGTTGGTAACTTTGCCAGATGAGCATAAATTGCCTTTACTAAGGTAGGCAATGTCCCTGCTGAAGAATTTATGGTCAAAGCATCTTCACTGTGTTTGAAGGGGATGAAAAACCACTTATGTGGAAGAAACATTAAAATTAGATGTGTCCTTTCTACCCTTGCTGTGTCAACTGATGCCAGGAAGTTTTATGATCACTAGCTCCTCTTCCTTCCTTTATATTTTCTGCTGTCACAGAAAGGCTTACGTGCTGAAACTCTACTCACTGTATTCAATCTTTCTGATTCCTGCAGGCATGCCTGTGTCTGTATGATACAGTGAATCTGCTGCACATCACACTCCTTGGTCGCATTTGGTGGACTTGTGCAAGTAGTGCTAAGGGACTAGTCTGCCTTTTCCTTTTTTTTTTTCCCTTCTTCTGTTGGCCCTGTTGCATTTGCTCCTTGCTCACCGTGGGTGATCACTGACTGAGTTCCAGCAACCAGGCTAGAAATATCTTGTTTGATTTTGCCTGACAGCTGTTTTGTGCTTGGTACAGCTGGGGCCAGGCAGGATTTCACAGCTGTTTGAAGTCACTGGAGAACGGTGTCCTTTGGGAGCTGAGGGAGGGTTGCAGTTGGAATGGGAGCTGTCTGGAGATGAGTCTGCCTGACCTGTTCTGGTATTAAAAAGCCTGGCAGAATTTGCTTTGTTCTGATGGGATGGAGATTTTGCAAGTTTCTGCCTTAGATAAGTCACTGTCTTATCAAGGTCTAACATGATCATGTAAATAAAAGAAACCATTCCAGATGAGGATTACTCAGCTTGATCCCTAAAGTTGAGTGCCTGCCTCTCTTTATGAGTATTTATAGCCTTTGATTAAAATAGAATCTGGAAACTCTGTGTCCCTGAGCACTTTCCTAAATTCTTTGATTCTATTCACAAGAAAATAGTATTTGGATTAAAGTATGTTTGATGTTTCCAAGAAAAAAACTCATCTAATACTATGTTTTCATTGCGAGTTGCTGCCTGCCAGAACTGATGCCAAGAAACCCAAAATATTTTAATGGCTGTGCTTAGATGTCAGCACTGATTACAGATGCTTGTGTCCTCCAACTAGAATTTTTCTCTTTAGGGATCAAGTTAGCAACCGAGACAGTTGGAAAAGTCTACAGCTGTTGTAGTACCATGGTCAGAGCTTGATCCAATATCTGTCAATGGACTTCATGAACTCCCTTGCACAGCAAGAGTCCTGGGCAGAGCCCTAGGCAGAGTAGCTAGTGGCATCACATATG